TGGTGTGCGGGATTTCTGCAGCTCTTCTCACCAGAAGATGACCGAATTGACTTCGGTCATCGAGCAGCGCCTGGGACCGCGTGGACGCGACAAGAGTACTGGAGGAGGCGAGGTTGGACGTGGCCACCCGGGACGCCATCACGGGACAGCCTGTTTTCTTGGACGTTAGCGTGACCTGCGCACGCAGCGACGACCTGCCGCGCCAGCAAGCCCGTGCGGGCCGAGATTGACTTGCGGCCCGGAATGCTGCGGACGCCAAGCACCTGCGGTACCCGCCGCACGGAGGGAAGCTGGTCCCTGTTATCTTCGAAGCTGGCGGGCGGCCTGGTGAAGAGACTGTGGTGTACGTGCGGTCCGGGGCGCACGACATGGCCCTGGCCCGCCGGACGAAGGTCATCCGCTTCGCCTGGCAGCAGCTCAGAACGCATCTCCAGACCAGGAATGCGGAACTGCTGCTCAGTGCGCTGGGCCAGTGAAGGGCCTCGCGGCCAAGGCGACGCACCGCCACCGAGGCGAACGGCCGCAGCCTGGGCCGCGATCGCTGCTGCAACTAGCCCTACCACAGCCGCAATTACAAACGCTCCCACAATTCCTGCCGCAATCACCACCACCTGGGGCCTGCCACGACGACCACTTCAGCCACCACCACAGCCGCAACCAATGCGCCACGACTTCCACGACATTACTACCACGACCACGTGCGCCTTCGACTGGCCACGACAACCGCGACCACCATCATGACCACAACAATGACCACGCTCCGACCGCGACCACGCCCACCACGACAGCCACCAGGACGACCACGACCACCACCGCGACCACCACCACGACCACCATCACGACCTCTACGACAGCCACCACGACCACCACGGCCCCCTCCGCCCCCCGCCCCCCGCTTCCTCTCCCTTCCTTTCTCGGCTGGGTCGCCCCTCCTGCGCCTTTCAGCTGCCTTCCGATGTTGGGGCCCCTCGCCTCAGGCGGGGGTCTCGTCACCAGTCGGACGTGGTGTGCAATGTCCTGCCCCTTGCCGCCGTCGCGCGTGTCTCGCTTCACCCCTGGTGGTTTCGCACAGGGACTCCGCCGCGAGCTGTCCCCGCCTGGGCCTCGATGGGTCCCTGGTACGGGTGGACTTTCCTGTCCTCTCCTCCACTGTTGGAGGAAGAGGAGGAGAGGAGGAGGAGGAGGAGGAGGAGAAGGAGGAGGAGGAGGCTTAAGGAGAACAAGAAGGGCGGAGGAGGAGGAGGCCTAAGGAACAAAGAAGAGGAGGAGGAGGAGGAAGAGAAGGAGGAAGAGGAGAAGGAAGAGGAGGAGGAGGAGGAGGAGGACCAGTGTAAAACCAAGAGGCTTCAACGATGTTGGAATTAACCCTCCCTCCTAGCTCCCTCTTCATAGGCCCCCTGCAACGGTTCAGTTCCATTGAGGGAACTGCCTCGTTGGAAGACAACCGTTTGAAGACCCTGCAACATGCTAAAATATTGTTCTCGGGATTCCAACGCCACGCATCAACCTTACTGTTGCGTGTTGACGATCCAGAATCTTGCCAGAACGCCATTCCTGGGACTTCAACACAGCGAATCAACGTAACGGTTGCGCCCGCGAAATCCTGAATCCTTTCAAAACACCATTTCTGGTACGTTGATGATGGGATCCGTGAAACTCTTGGAAATTGTTAAATCGAACGTGCGCGGCGCTAAAGCGAGAACCATAGTTTGAAAAGGAACCGCCCTCAATCTGCGAAGCTCTTGCAAGTGTCTACAACGAATGTGCGCCGCGCTAAGGCGAGAGCCACATGTTGAACACCAACCACCCTCAATCCGTGAAACCCCTGCACATTGTTGAAACGAATGTGCGCCGCGCCTAGACGAGAACCACAGTTTGAAAACCACCCGCCCTCAATCCGTGAAGCCCTTGCAAATGTTTGAAAAGAATGTGCGCCGCGCTAAGGCGAGAGCCACATGTTGAAAACCACCCGCCCTCAATCCGTGAAGCTCGTGCAAATGTCTAGAACGAATGTGCGCCGCGCTACGGCGAGAGCCACATTTTGAAAAGGAGCCGCCCTCAATCCGTGAAGCTCGTGCAAATGTCTAGAACGAATGTGCGCCGCGCTACGGCGAGAGCCACATTTTGAAAAGGAGCCGCCCTTTATCCGTGAAGCTCGTGCAACTGTCTAAAACGATTGTGCGCCGCCCCAAGGCGAGAGCCACATTTTGATTACCACCCGCCCTCCATATGTGAAACTGTTGCCAAGTTTCAGCTTCAGAGTCATAATAAGCGGTGAGAAAGTCCCAGGCGAAACGCCCAGCCCGCCCTAAAAACCGGCCTCGGGGTGCGACATTGGGAAATTATGGATAAGGGAGAGGAAAGGAGGAGGAGAAGGAGGCGGAGAAGGAGGCGAAGGAGGAGGAGGAGGAGGAGGAGGAGGAGGAGGAGGAGGAGGAGGAGGAGTAGGAGAGGGAGGGGGAGGAGGAGGCAGAGACATTCGGGGACGGAGGGATGGAAGAAGGAGGAGAGAGGACGGATGAGGAGAGAATCGGCAGCAAAGGAGGATGAGGTGGAGGAGGAGGAGGAGGAGGAGGAGGAATATGGGGATGGAGGATGGAAGGAGGAGGAAAAAGGAAGGAGGAGGAACAGGGAAGGTGCGGTGTGAAAACATGCAGGGCCCGACCGATCTCCTGAAGCGAGGGCACCGCCAAGGGCTGGTCCAGGGGCATCCGTCGACCATGCCTTGAGTCGTTAAATGATCTGAATTCCTTGAGCACTACATCAACATTGATGCCTCGCGTGGCCTCCGCGTTCCTCCTGCATCTCATCTCCCACGCACTTCCTTCTCGTCCTGTTCCTCTTCCTCCCAATCCACTTCCTCCTCCACGTTCTCCTGCTACACCTTCTCCACCTCCTCATCCGTCCCCCCTCCACCGCTACGTCCCAACCGTCATTTCTAAAACCGCCGCCGCTATCGCCATCACCACTACCGCCGTTGCTGTCACTGTCGCGCTGAGCCTGGATAAAGACTTCAGCGTGGTGCTCGCCATCGTCATCTCCATCGAATCACTAGGGGGAGGGGTGGAGGGGGAGAAGGGGGATGATGATGATGAGGAGGAGGATGAAGAGGAGGAGGAGGAGGAGGAGGAGGAGGAGAAAGAGGAGGAGGAGAAGGATGAGGAGGAGGAGGTGAAGGAGGAAGCGGAGGAGGAGGAGGAGGAGGAAGAGGTCACAAGGAAATTATGGGCTCCTCTCGCTCCCACTTCCTGTGGTGGCCACTGCCACTGGACGACACGATTGGGCCTCGTTGGAGCACCCCTGCTCTGCATGGCTTTTGTTCTACGGCCCTACGAGGGCGACCACGCCGCCTGCTGGTATCAGATCGGAAGCGTTCGCCCCCTTCCTGTTCCTCGCTGACCGCCGCTGCGGCCTCGAGACCGACGCGAGACCCCGAGACGCCACCACAGAGAGCGCAGGCGAGCCCCGAAAGCAGCGACGACCCTCTCGAGGTCCCAGCGGGCCCGTGCATGTTTCCCCTGCCCGTCGCCTGTGGTCCCTGGCCTGGCTCTGCAGGTGCTTTGAAACTTGCTTCGAGATCCCTTTTGATCAAGGACCGACCGTCCCGGCATTCCTATAGTCCTACCACGACATGTTCTTAGAACCCCAAAAATGTTCTAAGAACAAAAACAGTGTTCTTAGAACATAAACTCGATGTGATAAAACAAGACGATCCCAGCCAGAAATGTTCTAAGAACATTTCGTGGAACCCACAAGGTTCTCAGAACATTGCTTGGTAGGGCTATAGGCGAGCCAAGACGCTTCGCCACTGCTTGACCCTTGGGACCCTGACGAACATCGGCCGGCATCGCGGACTGGATGCCGCAACGCGCGTGCCCCCAGGAGGCCTCAAGAGGCTCGCAAGGGCCGTCATGAGGGACGGGAGGAGGAGGAGGAGGAGGAGGAGGAGGAGGAGGAGGAGGAGGAGGAGGAGGTAGGAGGGAGGAGGAGGAGGAGGAGGAGGAGGAGGAGGAGGCGGAGGAGGAGCAGGGGCAGTCAGTGCATGATGCTTGAACGAGTTCAGTCCATCACACTGTCTCGCCTGAAGGGGCCACAGTACGTCCCCTAAGAATATCA